AAGCTAAATAGGCACATCTCAAAAATTGCAACATATAGTTGACTCTGCAGTAGAAAACAACTAAAAATACAGCTTTTGCATTTAGGGATCCTTGTATCTGGTTGCATCTAATGTTGCAGTTACTAGCATACATTTACAGTCTTTTGAAGACCTTTTGTCCCCTTCCCAGGGTCCTGTAAAGCTTCAGATCCTCAGAATCTTTCACCTAAGACATCGTGCTGGCGTATGAAAAGCCGTGAGCAATATTTCTGGCCAAAAGCTAGGAAACTAGAAGTGTACCTCTCATTTCTTGATATTTATCTCTATTGCAAACACATGTAAACCAGATTTTGAACATAAATAAGAATTTCTTCAGCCATTTTACTAGTCCTCGCTCAATAGGGAATTTTCTAGTCTGCCAGCTAAATGACCATAAGAGCACTCACATGTGAATAAAACCCACATAATATAGAAAATGACACATTCCTAACACCCTAAAGTAATGTTATTTGAAACGATCGTTGCACATGAAAATGCATCTTCTACCCACTACAGAAACAAAGGTCAAAGAAATCAGTTCTATTTTAATTGTTAATTGGTCTGCAATTATCTGAAGATTTTTTTTTTTTCCACTCAGGAAAACAAAAGGCAAGGAAGGTATCTTCTTGAAGAGTTTACAGCTGTTATACACGACATATCTACAAGTAGATGAATAACAGCAAGCATTGTTAAAAATTACTTTTAAAATATTCCTAACTTTGTGTCCACTATAAATTGCAGCAGGTGTGATATAACAAAGGAGATCTCAAGTGTGGAGTTTGCCACTTAACCACCTTATTTTGTCCAAAAAACTCCAAAGGATTATTGAGAGTATTTAAACAAAGAGTCTAATTTTCTCTATTGAGGGAGGTTAGGATTTTTACTTTCTAGTTAGTACCTTGTACTAGACTTTGTGAACAATTGTCTATTACTCACACTAGGTTGGTAAAACTCAGTTAACTGGAAACAATCTTCAAGAAGATTGGACGAATGATCATGAAATCTCACCTGTATTTTGTGCAGGTAGAGTTTTGATGTGAAGGATCTGGTGGATTAAGTGTGATTCTTGGCGAGACCTGAGCTGATAGCAAAAATCCCGAAGCTAGGATAATGAGTGCTACAGCAGTACCTAAAAATACAGATAAAGAACAATGTGATACTTTTCTCCAGAGCACATGAAATAATTCTCTATTGAACTGAACTATGCTTGGGAAAGCAAGGCGCACAGCATTCGCTAAGGAGTTGTGATGAGAACGTAAGAAAAACACCCTTTGCTACATCCACATCTTGAATTAGGTTAGATGTTAAACTCAAGTGCATCAGGTGTAATGTCCAGATACTAAATTGATAGGTTGAGACTTTTTTTAAAATATGTGGAATTGAAGACTGCATGAATGAATGGGTATATTCTTCTTCGTGCTGAAAATAATGCTATAAAGGTAATATTTAACAGTGACTTTGAAATCACCATACTTTTTCCCACTCCTACACCCAGACTTGAAGGCTTTCCTGTAAAATAGAAAATAGAATCAGCTTTTTCATTGGCTCTGCTTCCCTTTGTGAAATGAGACAAATTTGACTTTTCATAAAAACACCACCAAAAAGCCCAACTGCAATTTCTCATCTTGTTTCAAAGAGCACACATAACGTGCTAGGAAACCTCCCCCTTCCACCTATTTGGTCCTGTCCCCCCCAACAAATTCCTTGTGCACGAGCTGGGCAAAATGACAGAGCGAAGATGGCAAAAAAGGTTCCTACTTCATGCAACAGGCCACTACCATAACCCATAGTTTTCCTTCCTTATTTGTCACACACACACACACACAATATGCTGTAGCAACTTAATGAAAACTGATACACTTCACCACTCATGATACTATTCCAACTATCCCAAACTCAGATGTATAAAACCTTTGCATCTTGCTACTCAACCAGGCATCGAGTTCTGTGTTCTATAAAATGCCCTGCATACCTATCTGTATACTCACTATTTACGTGGCATGTTTTATTTGAGAGGTCACATGTAACATATATAGCCTGATCTAAAAATATAGTATTATTTGTTAGGACAGGAGCATCTCTCCTATGAGGACAGGCTGAGAGCATTGGGGTTTTTCAACCTGGAGCAGAGAAGGCGCCAGGGAGACCCTATAGCAGCCTTTCAGTGTCTGAAGGGGGCCTACAGGGAAGATGGGGAGGGACTCTTTATCAGGGAGTGTCGTGATAGGACATGTAAGGTTTTCACACTGGAAGAGGGTAGATTTAGATCAGATATTAGGAAGAAATTCTATACTGTGAGGGTGGTGAGGCCCTGGAACCTGTTGCCCAGAGAAGTTGTGGATGCCCCATCCCTGGAGGGGTTCAAGGCCAGGCTGGATGGGGATTTCAGCAACCTGGTCTAGTGGGAGGTGTCCCTGCCCATGGCAGGGGGGGTGGAACTAGATGATCTTTAAGGTCCCTTCCAACATGAACCATTCTATGGTTCTATGATTGTGATTTAGTTACTAATGATCTAATAACATTATCCTTACCATACAAAAACAGACTCACAAGCCACTGAAGCACATCCCAGCTGGAAGGCAACATTCATTTAGAAGTGTGCGGTGACACATCCTACAGGTTGAGGACAAATGAAGGATACTGTATTCAATTCCAAATACTCCTCATCATCCCCTTTGCTCTGTATGTTAGAAGCATGTAAGTAATTTTCTCAGAAATGCACCCGGCAAGCCTGTAGACAAGCCACTACATTAAAAACCTTAACATGTTCTCTGGTAATCTTCAAGAAATTACACATTGTCTGGTTTTTATTTGGGGGTTTGGGTTTTTTTGGTGGGCAGAGGAGATGTTTTGGCAGTTTCAAGGGTGGGTTTGATGGCGTTTTTGAAGAGAAAAGCAAGAGTTGTGCCTGCTAGAAAAGCAGGCAAACCCACTGAGTATATGAAAAACTTTTTCTGAGATATAAATAATATCTTAAGTACCAAGAGCCATGTAATAAAATTATTCATGAATGTGTCTGTGCAGTAGCCATGACTAATAGGCATGAATATGCATGAACTGGAGATGATTGGACCACACATTTACCTGAACTGAGGCAACCAAGATCTTAAACTCAATCATAAACTGTATGCAGAGAAAGCACCTACCCACCATAAAATGTGATTCCAGTTTATTCTATACTTGGCTTTGTACTGTTATGGCTAGTAGGTACCGCTAATAATCCCTGTTTTCTGGGCAGGCTGGATATTGCACTAGATTTACTGTACTTTCAAAATGCCATAAACCAGACAGCAAATATCTTTAGACAGGGCCTATAATCTTATTTATATTCATTCTAAATATGCTTTGTCTGTCTTTTAAGCTAACCAAATACACTACCACTCACTTCCAGTACCTCTGCAAATGTCTTATTTCTTTGGAAAAGTACTGAATATGTAAACTTGACAAATGAAGTTTATTATATATTTTCATTCTGTGGGAAGTTTGTCAGTGATGAACAAAACCATACAACGACAGCACATCATTACCTAAGGAAAAAAAAAAAAAAAGAATAGGAAATATCCTGAAGATATTTTAGATTCTCTCTGTTACAAAAAGATATACAAATCGTCTAACGCCCAAGTATCACCATGCTTTCAAACTGACAATTTCTGAAGGGGAAAAAGGAAAACACAAATAAAATGGATACTGCACTTGTCAAAATTCCTGCATGTTTCCCAATTAACAGCTTTGAAAAAAGACATTATGGGAAGAAAAAGAGCAAAAGAAAGATAAAAAAATGATGTCAAGATATAAAATGAATGGGAAACTAAGAGGAATCAGTAACTGTGGTAATGAGAACTAAGAAGGTGTGATTTCTTTTTCAGAAGCAGATTACTATAATTTTCCTAATGCTTCTGGATCTATCTGAAAGGCTCGATTTTTCAAAAGTTGCTAATATTTTGAAAATTATAAAGATAAATTAAATTCAACGCAAAGAAGCTCTTTCCCAAATGTTTTCAGAAAGCAGGAAGAGCTACACAAGTTTACAAAAACAAATTACAGTAGGTTGGCTTTTAATGAAAATACTAATGTTACTATCTCTCTACTGATTATTTTTGTAGATTATCATCTAACAAACATCAACTCAATTAACCGTTACGAAAAAACCCCGCACCCTTGCAGCGGCAGGCAAAGGTAGTAGTTTTGTCTTCTTTTTATGTAATTG